ATAAAGTGCGATACTTTGCCGAGTCACTTTCTTTTCTTTTTAGACCAGACTTGTAGAGTAGATAGATAAACACACCCTTAGATAGAAAACAAGCGTGGATCCCGTCGAGTACGACGAACGTGAGGGGTGCTAATACCTTCCCCTTGCGTAACCGACTCCCGAATCCAGGATTTGGTTGCGATGACCATTCCTTTCCCTCTTTGCGTTAGGTTTACTCTGAGCGTTTCCTTTCCCTCTTGTGGGATAAATAACGCACGGTGGCGACTCTTCTGTCATAGCCGGCGCCGATTTTCGCAGTAGCGACAATGAGTCTCTTCATACACCAAACTCATGTCTCTGAATTGTTCGATCAATTCCAATTCTTGAACCATTAGCATTGGCATATGCAATGAATTTATATTTAAAGCACCAACTATGACATTGGCTTTATCAGGATGGTAACTCAAGCTAAAATCATAATCCTTTAGAAATTTGAGCCACCTTCTCTGCCTCATATTCAACTCTTTTTGGCCGAAGAGATACTTCAAACTCTTATAGTCGCTGAACACGCCAAATTTGGAACCAAACAAATAATGCCTCTAAATTTTCAACATGAACACCATGGCTGCCAACTCCAGGTCATGGTAGGATAATTCCTCTCATGAAATTTCAACTGTCTAGAAGCATAAGCCACAATCTGACCATTCTGCATCAACACACCACCTATTATCATCTTTGAAGCATTAAAACACACAACAAACGATTCACTCGGACTCGGCAAAATCAACACGGGAGTAAACATCAACTTTTTTGAGTTCTTGAAAACTCTCTTCACACTAGACACTTCACACATATGTTTGACCCTTCTGAGTCAACTAAGTCAAAATCAATGTCAACTTCGAAAAGCCTTTGATAAACCTCTAGTAATAACCAGCCAGAAGAAAACTTTTAATCCTAGTGACAGACCTCAGAGTCTCCTATTGCAACGCTGATCTATCTTTGATGGATCCACTATGATACCACCAGTAGATATCACATGACCAAGGAAACTTACTTCCTTCAACAAACACCCACACTTAGACAACTTCCCATACAACTTCTCTTCTTTAAAGGTTTACAGTACAACTCTCAAATGTTGTATATGTTCTTCATCAGACTTGGAATATATCATAATATTATCGATGAATACAACCACAAACTAATCTAACCACGGATCAAATATTGTATTCATGTACTCCATAAACACTCCAAACACATTAGACACACTAAACAATATCACTGAATACTTATGGTGACCATATCTCGTTTTGAAGGCAGTCTTTGGAATATCGTCTAACTTCACACGAATCTTATGATAACTCGAACGCAAATCCATCTTGCTAAACACGCAAGCACCAACCAAGTGATCGACCAAATCATAAATTCTCGGAAGTGAATACTTATTCTTGATAGTAACCTTGTCCAGCTGTTGATAGTGAACATACAACTTCATGCTTCCATCTTTCTTCTTGACTAACAATATCGACGCTTCCATAACAAAACACTCGGTCGAACAAACTTCTTCTCATGTATATCATCTAACTGTTTCTTCAGCTCACTCAGCTCTGAAGCAGACATCCTATAAGAAGCCATCGACACAGGACTAGTACCAGGTACTAAGATATAGCAAACTTCATCTCACGCTCCAACAACAAATCATTAATGTCATCTAGGGACATTTCGGGAAACTCACACACCACAGGTAGATCCATAAACATATTATCGCTTCCCCCACTTAAGGACATGAGAAACATGAACATTGGAGCACTCTCTCTCAAGCACATCTCTAACTGCATCGCGGTCATGAGACTCGAGTCTGTACTCTTTTCAGATTCAAGAAACTTCACTGATTTATCAAAATAATTGATAAACACATAATTGAACTCCAACCAATTCATTCATCTTCTTTTTCACGTACTGTTAGAAAGGTTCTAAAATCATATTTTCTCTACTTTTCTGATTATATAATATTCTTATTATCCTCTCATAATTATAATTTTTGCCTAACTAAAACTCAGCTTCTCTCCACTTACTACATACTTCCCTTAATTCACAAAATAACTTAACTCTTCATACTCTACTAATTTTCATTAATTTAATTAATTAAATCTTACTAAAATTAATTAACTAAGCACAATTCCCCAAAAATACTACACGCCGGCCCAACCACCCAAAATTATACAAAAAATAATTATTTAAATAGATCACTCAATTAAATCAAATAAATAATTAAATAAAAGACCAATTAAGTCGGGGTGTCACAAATAGCGCTATAAACCTCACTAAAAACCCAATACCTCACTGTCGGGCTAAACATATTGAGGTTAGACACCACTTTATTAGAGCTTGTATTGAAAAATAGGAATGAATACTTGAATTTGTGATCTCATCTAATCAACTCGCAGACAGTTTTGCAAAACCATTTTTTAAAGAAAACTTCTTTTTCATATTAACTGAACTAGACATCTTAAATAAATCATGCATATGTGCCTCTTCCCCCTTCTTCTTTCCCCTTTCTCTATATGATGTTTTATGATCTATGTGTTATGTGTGTTTTCCCTCCTTTTTTATTATACTAAATAGGGAGAAGTATACTCTCTGAGGAATTAGAGAATACTTTTTACTCATGTGAGGGGGAGTTTAATCACTCCAAACCTTGTTTATCCATCTGTATGCGTTTTATTTTACCACCTCCACGAGAGATACATTGTCATCATCAAAAAGGGGGGAAATATGGATCTATGTGTTTGTAGGTATGAAGCTGATGATCATGCTGAAAGCTCTCCTAAGTGTTTTAATGACGACAACACTAATGTTGGTTGAATTTGGTGGTAATAACCTTCCAATTCTCTGATGATGGTGATTAACTTCCAAATATCAAGCCTCATCAAGTATGAGACTTAAGGATATATTGAAATGCTTATATGATTGAGGATATGGAAAAGAAACTTGAAAGCCTCAGAGTTGTGAAAGAGAGGACGTATGAAATCTCGTTTGGTCGTGTCTGTTTGAGTGACCAGAGTCTTGTGAAAGTAGGAGAGCAGCTTCTAAGATATTAAGGCAACTCACACACACACTTAAAATAGTTTAAAACCTATTTTTAAATAACAAAACACCTAAAACTGTTTTTAAGCCTTAAATAGTTGATTAAAAAAATTATCAACTTGATTAAAAGAAATTTTTTGAAGTACCTAGTCGATTATATCCTAAAGATAATTGATTAGATGAAGCGAAATCGATTACATAATCGTTTATGACAGTGTCTTAATGATTGGTAATATCTTTCTATTCAAACTTTTCAAATTGGATTCAAATATTAGATTATTTATGGCATCTAATCCATTAGGCTTAGGAATTAGTTTATTAGGTGAGTTAATTGGCCCATGGATCATTTCTTTTTTGAGGCAATTCTTCTCCTATATAAAGAAGGCACATCTCTTATTCTTTTCACATCAGAATTTGAGATTTCTCTAATTCTTTGTAATTTATCTCTCTCTCTCTCTCTAAATATTTTCTTTTTACTAAAGTTGCTTTAGTGCCTTATGAGAGAAACTACTTGTGAAGAAAGAGTTGTATTGGTATCATGTCATTTTTAATACTTTCAAGAGTGCGATACTTTTTAAGAATTGTGTTTGGTTCTTGAGATTAAGCAATTTTAAAATCTCGGTCTGGTTCTAGAACTTAGCATAGAAAAATTATGTTTGGTTATTGAGATCAGCTTGTAAAATCTCTAATTAGTCTGTTAGCTTAACCCATTGAAAATCTTTCTTTTGGTTGGGGATAAGTCAGTCAAATCTCTAGATCTACTTGTATCAACGGTTCATGGACATAATCTATAAAAGCTAAAGTTTATAGTTAAATCTCAAGAAAATCTCTTGGTGATATGAGTATGCCAACGTTTGGCTGAACCTAGATGATTCTCTGGTGTCATCTTTCTAAATCTTATCTTTTATTTTCGGATATTTACATCACTCGTTTTACTTTCCACTACTTTTTTATTTTGATCTATAAAAATACTAACACAAACTTGCTTCTTAAGTAACAAAAGTATGAAGCTCAATAAAGCAAAAGATGTTTATGATGGTATTATATAATGACGTCATACCAATGAAGTCAGTTATAATTTAAAGGAATATTCTAATGTTTCGGAAACAAGGGTTTCTCCTAGAATAATACCTGATTTGGGAAAATCATAAGAGATGTGTTGTCAAATGACATAACAAATTATAGTTTGACATTTGTATATCTAGAAGACAATTATTTGACCAACGAATCTAGGTCTTCAAGAGAAATTCCAATATCAAGAAGAGATTTGTATATCTAAAAGACAATTATTTTGATAGTTACTAAGGCATTAGAGTTTTTACATGTAACTCTCCTAATCCATTCAGATTAATAAATCACTGAGGATACACAATCTAAAGCTACCTAGACTTGACCATATTTATCATTATAGATATGTTTTCGCGGAAGGAACATCGACATTAATGTTTAATCATTTATTCAAATGTGTAAATGAAAAACCAGGAAAAAAGAACAACTTATATTTAACCTCCCACAATCTAAGAAGAAACCCCAATTGAAAAGAGAGGCCTCGCAACTTCCTTATTTGTGAATTTAATACATTTATCATAAAACGATGTATCTCTTCACTTACCCACTAGAAATATTTAATGACAATCACAAAAATATTTTTCAATTACATCCCAAAACTCTTTGACATAATCACATTCATGCCTATCTGATTTAAAATTTGTACTTTTTTTTTAATAATCAGATCTTGATCAAAAAGTCAGTACTTTTGACTGCAGCTAATCCAATTTTGTAAAAACATAAAACTATTAATCTATTATCATCTATTCACAAATGTTGAACTTGAACAAGACAAGAACATGTATACTAACCTTTATGAATGAAATATTCAAATAGCATGTCTATATATAGACAAAAAAAAAACATCAGTTTTAAGCAAAAGTTCAAGTTTAGAGTGACGTGGTAGCAGGATCACACACGGGGCACGAAGGATCAGTGAGATGAGTGAGGAACGCAGGTAAACATGTGCCATGGAAGACATGACTGCATGGAAGAACAGAAACTTCCGGCAAAACGGTACTCCTCAAATCTTCTTCTCCCCCTTGCGAGGATAGCAAATAATACTGCAGTTCATCTTCATCTCCATCTTGATTTGAAGGTTCTTGTTCCTCTTTATTAGCTAAATCAAGCCCACAAAAATCACAGTTCCAATGCACACTTGTGTCTTCAATGCCTGTAAACAAACATACATAACTTATGTCACAAAATTCTTAAAACAAAATACATGCATGTTTGATCAATGAGTGTGAGTGTGATTACCTTCCCATTGAATATAGTGTCTTGGTCGTTGTTTTATTGGATTTTTACTAGCTCGTTGTTTACTTGATGTAGGCTTGTTGTCTTTCATCTCTTCTGAAGTATTCAAGATCTTTGAAGATGAATCTTTAATCTTAGAATCATTGCTCTTCTGTGTAACCTTTTCAGTTTTGATGTTATTACCTTCAATTGTCTTTCTGAAACCTGATCTCAACCTAGATGCAATTGGCCCTTCGTTTTTTTTTTCAGGTGTAGATGCCATTTATTAACTCTGAAACTATATTTTCCTTCAAAGTAAAAATAGTATATCTGCAGAAAATCATCAAAGTTTTGATATATATATTATGAAGGCATAAACCCTAGGTTACGATGGTTGTGATCCATCGTGCTATAGTTAAAGAATTAAACAATATTAATTAAAGCAAAATCACGAATAGCCATCCTAATATACCAAACGCTAATACAGGTAACAATGATGATTAGAGATTACAAATATAGTATCCTTATCCTACAAACACATATACGATGATATTCTCATATATCAGAAAATAAAACTTTGAGAATTCGGTACATTTATCATACAATATATCGAAAGAAATAATAATATATACGAAAGTGAATAAACCTTGTTGAGCAGGCACTGGATTTTCAATAAAAAGAAGCTGCTTGAGAGAGAGCGCACAACTGCAGCAGGGTTTGTTGTTAATGGTAAACAAAAACTCAGTCGAGAAGTTTAAGTATTTTATAATGTAGTCGCGTGGGGTCCACTGCCTGCCGTAATATTTGCTCTCTAATAAAGGATTCCCTCACACTTACCCTATTTTTTTTTTTTTTTTTAAGTTTTCTATACACCCATATCCACATCAAATTTTATTCTCTTTAATGAGAATTTAATTTCATATCTTTTTTTTTTTTTTTAATTTTGTTTAAAATTTTTCGAATTTATATTAATTCTATATGTTATTGTATACTCAAATTTAATTACTACTTGATTTTATTTTATTTTATTTTATTATTAGAGTTAAATATAATATATTATTTATTAATAAGTGATTAATGAATTTGTCCCCATGTTAAAAAGAAATAGTAAAATAAATCAAGGTTCTCATATATAATACATTTGTATTACTTAATTAATCTAATAATTAATTTACTTTCTAATCAAATTAACTAAAAATATATACTTAATTTTTAAAATAAAAAGTTAAATATAAATGATAAATAAATAAAAATCGGTAAAAAAATATTAAAAAATATAAATGTATGTATAATTGAAGAAGGGGAACACAGTTGAAAATAATTATCCCTAAGTATATTTATGAATAAAAAAATTAAATTCTAATAATAACTTAAAATTAAGTAAACTCAAGTAGTAATTAAATGTGGGTATGAAATAACAAATCTAATTTATATAAATTAAGAAAATCTTAAACAATATTAAAAGAATATATAATTAAATTCTCATTGAAGAGAATAAATTTGATATGAATATCAGTGTATAATAAATTTTTAAAAAAATAGGGTTAGTGTGATAGAATCCTTTGTTAGAGAGCAAATATGACCATAAACAATGAATCTCGTGTGACTTTATTATAAAATATTGAAAATCCTCGACTCTAAATTTTTATTTGCCATTAACAACAAACCCTATTGTTGTTGTGATCTCTCTCTCTCTCTCTCCCTCTCTCTCTCTCTCAAGCGTAAGGTTTGCATCCTAAAACTTTTTTAGCGCATTTGTATGTTGCTCGAGATATTTGTGATTATTCTCTCTCAAGCAACTAAGGTTTGCATTCTATAACTTTTTTTTAGCGCATTTGTATTTTGTTGGAGATGTTTGTGATTACTCTCTCTCTCTCTCTCTCTCTCTCTCTCTCTCTCTCTCTCTCTCTCTCTCTCTCTCTCTCTCCCTCTCTGTGTGTGTGTGTGCAAGGTTTGCATCCTAAAACAACATCACATTAGATAGAGTCCAACTATCTTAAATTTGGAAAATAACTTTAATACAATTTAAGAGCAGATGGTTTAGAAGAAGACAAAAGAAATTGATAAGCATAATACACCAAAAAAACTCTATCCTTTGAAAGATTCCACACCCATTTATCTCTGTCTAAGGAGAAACAAAGTTCTCGAATGATTGACAAAAAATTCGCAACCATGGGTTCCTCACACACAAAGAAAGATCTCCTCCACTTGAAATATCAAACTAAGGTGCCATCTATCCACCTACCAACCTAACCAAGATTCCCCTTAAGAAAGTCAGTGATCGTAAACAACCTAGGAAACTTATCCTTAATAGGTATGCTCCCTATCCTAGGGGCAGTCTAAATAGAACTCGGAGACCTATATCTAATTCTCCTAATTGTACTATCTACAAATCAGTATGAAGAATCTTCCTTTTTAGAGCTAAGAGTAGATGCTTCTTTCTACCAGAAGGAGGCATTACGAAAGTCAAAATCTCTACCATCCCTTATGAAGATACAACAGATTCACTGTAACGAGTATCTAGGACATCTCTCCAAATCCTAGAGGCTTATGAAATAAGATGTCACCTCCATTTAGCTAAAAAGAGATAATTTTACTAGACGGGGTGTCTCTAACCCCCAAACTACCTTTACTTTTAGGTTTGCAGACATTATCCCAACTAACCCGAGAGATTTTAGAATCTCCGTTGACATTTCCTCACAAGAATCTTCTTTGAATCCGAAAATTTTTCCTCCATACCTTTACAAGCATTTTCAGATAAGACAAGAAAAATATAAGAATAACATTAAGCACAAAATTAAGTAAAATAACCCGACCACCTAAACTAACAAACATGTGCTTCCATGAATTAAGACTCTTAGTAAGAAGTTTAGTAAGCGGGTCATAAGTAACTTCTTTTCCAGGAATAACTCCAACAGAAAGCCCCGTATACTAAAAGGAAGAGTCCCGATTCTACAGTGAAGAAAGTCTTCAATGGTGTCTAAAAAGACACGGTCCACCTTCGCACCTATAAGGATACTTTGAGCAAAATTGACTCAAAAGCCAAATGCAAGTTAAAATCCCCTAAGAATAGCCTTTATATTCCAAAGATTATCAGCCGTGGGGTCTGTTCCTAAATAAACCACTTAAGACCTCAACCACTAAAAGGAAAAGGAATGGGGCCAGGGGGTCACTTTGCTCTAGGACTCTTTGAATTCTAATCTCTTGAGTTTTGAGATTTCCAGCAAACACACAAATCATAATCCAAGATCTCTAGTTATCGTTAAAACCAAAACGAACCAACATATAATCCAGAAAATTCTAACTCACTGAGTCATGGACTTTCACAAAGTCAAATTTAAAAAGGAGACAAAACTTCCTATAATTTTTATCATGATCAATCACTTCATTCATAGCTACCACACCATCCACAAATATTCTACTTTTTAGAAAGGCAGATTGATTAGGAGAAATAAACTTATCCAATAGCTCCCCTAGTCTAGCAACAAACACTTTAGCCACTAACTTATATAAGGTACCAATGAAGAGACGTTAGAAAGGTGTTTTCTTGCATCTAAAAACTATCTCTATTCATATCATTATCATCCTCATTCATCTAGTACAATAATCAACATCTTCTCTTTCTACATGCATTCAACACTATTATACTCATGCATATTCCATTTCTACCTTTTAAAAAGGCAGATTGATTAGGGTAAATAAGCTTATCCAAGACTTCCCCTCATCTAGAAGCTAACACTTTAGCCACTAACTTATATAGGAAACCAATGAAGACACATTAAAAATAAGTTTGCATGCATCCAAAAACTATTTATCATCCTCATTCATCCAATACATTAATCAACATCTTCTCTTTCTACATGCATTCAACACTATTATACTCTTGCATATTCCTTTTTTGTTTTTCCTAATCACAAACATTCAAAACACTTTTCTTTTTATTTTTTTTTATTTTTCATGCATAACATCTTTCTCACTGAGTTGGTTGGGTTTTTATCTGTGTTCCATAGTGTTTGTTGTTTGTGGTTGTTTTCACTGTGTATTGTAAGTTTAGACTGCATTGTCATGTCTGGCCTAAGGAAGAAATATATTCATATCATTATCATCCTCACTCATCTAATACATTAATCAACATGTTCTCTTTCTGCATGCATTCAACATTATTATTACACTCATGCATTTCCCATTTATGTTTTTCCTAATCACCACCATTCAAAATAACTATCATTTGCATTTTTTAGTTTTCATACATAACATCTTTCTCATGTGAGTTGCACTGGGTTGGTTGGGTTTTAATATGTGTTCCTTGGTGCATGTTTGTTGTGGTTGTTTTCACTATGTCTCACAAGTTTAAATTGCATCATCATGTTCGCCTAAGAAAGACGGGTGGTTCACCTTTTTGTTCAAAAATTTTAGATTTTGTTATTGAATGGGATTTTAAGCGTGTTTTCTCGCGCTTTGCTTTTGAAGGTGGGGGGGGGGGGGGGGTTGAATAAGGATTTAGAAAATATTATGGCAATAAAAACACAATGATTTTTATCCTGGTTCGTTGAACTCAACTAATCCAGTCCACCCTATCAAGAGTGATTTGTCTTTCTCTACAAGGACTTAATCCACTATAATCAAACTTATTTCAATATCAACCACTAAGAACAACTGTCTTAGTCTTCTCAAGAACTACTGACCACAACTTGGTCTTCTCAAGGAACTTTTACAATCAAATGTAAACTAAACAAGTGTTTGAAAATTCTTCTAAGTAAGCTATATCACAACTGTGATTTACACTTAAGTTTAAGAACGTATGAAATAAATCCAGCAAAGAATAATAATTTGTATGAGAGCTTTTCAATGAATTTTTGTCAAAGTACATCAACTGTAGAAAGTTGTTGAAGGCTTTCTTATATAGACAAAGAAGTTCAAGACGTTGCAAGCTTGGAGACCGTGTACTGCAAAGTAGCTGTAGCCTTTTTGTCTTTACATCACTTGACCTTTCCTAGAAGTAGAACGTTCAGAGAAATCCTTTTTGCCTGAGTTCTTGTGTCTAGCATAAAAGAGGAAAGAGTCGTTTGGCATAACCAACGGATATAACTTGAATAATCTTCTTCAACGAGTTTCTATCTTGCAGCAATCAACATCAGAGCCTTGAGTGATCAGAGTCTTGATGTCTTCAGAGTTTGTTGTATCAGAGTGTTGCAGCAAGTGTGCTTCAGCGTGAAATTAATCAGAGCAGAGTTTGGTGATCAGATCCTCAGTACTTGCAGCGAATAGTACTATCAGATTCTT